GGTCCCCCAGACCTTCCCAGGGCCGCCTCCGCCCAGTGAGTGGCCAGCCCCCTCCCCAGGCTCCCCCTTGTCTCCCCAGGCTGGAGGGGGGCCCTTGGAGTTCCCCCACATCCCTTCCCCCACCACCAGGTTAGTTGGGAATTCCACTCCTCTGGGGAGCCTGCTCCAGGCCAGCCCCTTACTGTCGCCTTCTTGCCCCTGGCAGCCGCTCTGCGCCCCCCCCCAACCTCGGTGCACACAGCAGGGGCTCAATAAGTGTTTTCGGAGCAAACAGGCGTCAGGGACGTCAGGGACGGAGGGGAGGGCGGAGGGCACACCTGGGCTGACCCCCTCCCCTCCGCCCGGCGGAAGAGGTCCCTTATCTCCGGGGTTGACAGGCTGTCAGCAAGCTCGCGGGGGGTGGGGGGGGGAGCGGGGATAAAGGAGGGGTAGAGAAGGGTGAAAGGGAGGGGAAGGGACCGCGGAGGGGGCATCCCTCCCCATCTGTCAGCATCCCAGGGTGCACCCCTCCCCGTCCCCATGGGGTGTGCCACCTGCCCGCCCCTCTCGGCTCCCCACCGCCCGCCAGCCTGGGCAAGTCTCCGTCTCTTGGCCTCTGTTTCTCGCGGACCCTGGCTGTCTGCACCCAGCGCCCACTTCGCCCACCGCCCTCCTGCCTGCGTTTCCGCAGACCGCGAGCGCCCTCTGGTGCCTGGTCGGGGTGGCGGCGCGCGAGGGGAGGACTGGACGGGGGCGCCAGCAGCACCCACCATTTCACGGATGAGGACACACCAAGGCTCCCAGGGGAAGGTCACGGCTGTCTCTGCTCCGGAAATGCCGTCTGGCCCTGCGGACGCTCGCTCTATCCAACCCTCTGACCGGTCACTCGCTCACTAGCTGGCTGCATGCAGGCCTGGGATGTGGCTTGAGCCCCTGGCGGACCTCAGGGGCCCAGGCCTGGCTGGACACAGTGTCCTGCGCTATGTGCCAGGGAAGCTCCCTGCGGAGGACATGCTTGAGCAGGACCTTGAATAGTGTGGACATAGTCACAGCAGGAACTGGCCTGGGCGGGGAGGGTACACTGAGGCTGGGCCTTGATGGAAAGGGGAGGGTTCTGGGAGCTCAGGGAGGCTGGGGGAGCAGAGGTGTGGGCCCAGACCCCTTGGGCCGCAGGGCAAGGGGCCCTCAATCAGCCAGCCTGAGAGCTGGAGATGTGGGGGAGGGGGAGCCTGTGCAGGGCCTTTGAATGGACCCCCACCTGTTCCCATCTGGAAGGCGTCTGGGGCCACAGAAGGGACCAGCCTGTCAGTGGGGAAGGGGCCCTGGGATTGGGGTGTTCTCCGTGAGATGGAGGACAATGGTGGGATGAGGGGCACGGTAGGCCTCCTGGTGTGGGCTGAGCGGTCTATGCTCGCCCTCCCTGAATAGGGCCATTCAGGGGCACTGAGCTGGGACCATCCACTTCCCCACACTCCTTGGGGGCTGAGGCCCTGGGGTCAGTGTGTTGAGGGTCAGCTCAGGGTCAGGATTGGGACCGGGGGCTCCCGGGCAGCCTGGAGAAGGTGAGCCATCGCGGCCAGGCCAGTGTCCCCCCGTCAGCGGCAGGGGCAGGTCTAAATCCTGGAGAACACGCAGGAGGGGTGGGGGAATCCCGGGAGGAACATGGGGTTCAGCCCCCCATCCACCAAGTGGCAAGTGATTGCTTAGGTCTGACCACACTGTATTGCCAGCTCTTTCCTCCCTCATGCCCTCAGAGCCCTGATGCTCACTCTGTCACCTGGGTACTGGTCCAGGAGCCCTCAAGCCTGTGGGCAGTGGAGCTGGGTTGCTGCTGACCACCCCCCACAGCTCCTGCCGGGGCCTCATCCCACAGCCCAGGGAGCCTCCTTCTCCCAGGACCCCCGGGGCTACTTTCTCCTGGGCCCTGCATTTGCCCTCTCGAGGGCCTCAGTGAGGAGAAGAGAGGGAGTCCCAGGCACCTGGTCTCAGCCACGAAGGAAGCTCTGAGCCCAGCAGGAGACTCGTCTGTGGGGTCCGTTTCCTCCTATGGAGAGTAGCGGGGTGCCCCCTCCCGGCACCATGTTGGGACTAAGTTTAGGAAGTTGCCTGTGTTCCTTGCTGTGACAACGACCATCACCTCTGACCCCCACCAGGGCTCTGGGGGTGCTGGGCCACCCCTAGGGAGGACAGGGTAGCAGTTCATTTGTACAAAGGAGCCACCATCTCCGATGTGGTGATAAGCCTGGAAGGACGGCCGGATGCCTCGCACCTGCCTACAAAGGCGGGGTGGCTCCTGCCTCACGTCCCACCAGTAGACCCGAGATAGCATCAGCCCGACCGGAGAGCCATCCGTCTTGTCCTACAAAGGCCAGGACAAAGGCCATGTCAGCGGCAGCCTCCCCGACCCGGTCAGCGGGGGTCCGGGCCTTCCTGTGCCAGGCGGCTGAGGCCCAGGCCTGAGGCTCCACTGGGGTCCTGTTAGGGGTCCATGGAGAGCAGCCTCCATTGTTCACAGGGCCAGCCAGGTGGAGGCCACATCTGGGCAGGAGTGAGGTCACATCAGCTCCTCATTGGGGCACCCCGGGTCCCCTGTAAGCAGCCTGTGCTGCACTAGGGCAATCACAGTTGGGGTCCCCAGCCCTGATTGACAGCCAGGGGTCAGGGGTGACTTAAGGCCCCGAGAAGCCCCTGGCTGGTCTGTGCAGTCCGAGGTGCCTTCCCGCAGTGAGTGTGGCACGGAGAGGACATGACTTCAGAGACCCTGCAGCCTCGGGTGCCCACGCACCCCTGCAGGGATGTCTATAGACCCACCTTGCATGGCTTGGGCCCTGCCCCACCTGCCGTCCAGAGCTTCTCACTAGATGCCCAGGGAGCTCCAGGTGGGCCACCAGGCTGTCCTGACCATCCCCACTTCACCCTGACGGCTCCGAAGGCTGCCCCTGGGGAACCTCACACACAGAACTGTCCTCAGAGCCACTCCACAGCCCCACACTGACCCCGGAAACTGCCGCTTAGAACATCCTCTCTCTCAACCCTGCCTTGCAGTGTCCTCACTGTCCCCAGTGTCCTCTCTGCTCCACTGTCCTCTGCCCCACACTGTCCCGTGTCCCGTCTTACTCCCCACCGTGTCATTGCTGTCCCCAGTGTCCTGTTTACATGCTGTCCAACCTTGCCAGCTGTCCCACTACCCACAGTGTGCTACTGTCCCCACCGTATCATCACTCTTCCCACAGTGTCCTGGCTGTCTTCACAGTGTCCTCACAGACTCCCTCCCCCTCAGGGTACGCACTCCCCAGCTCATTCTTCTCCCCACAGTGTCCTCACTGCCCCACACTGTCTTTGATGTCCCCGCTGTGTCCTTGCTGTCTCCACAGCACTGCGGTGAGCCGGGTGGCTTCCTGGGCACCTGGGTGGGGTCCCTCAGCTCCCAGAGCACCAGGCCTGACTCCAGCCTCGGAGACCCGTGACCCCCATTGTCCACAAGCCTCGCCACCCCAACCACCCCGACCACTCTGTGCACTGGCTGTACGTTTACTGGCTGTTCACACACGGTCATCACTGTCCACAGTGTCTTCGCTGTCCCCAAACTGTCCTCACTCTCCCCAGAGTCCTCATTGCCCAGTGTCCTCACTACCCGAGTGTGTCATCGTCCTTGGGGGTCTCCTCCCCACTTGAACTTCTGTGAGAGTCAGTGGCTGGGCAGAGTTTACTCACTGACTGCATGCTTGGAGGTTATTTGGGGTGTAGGGAGGTGAGTGTCCCCTTGAACTGCTTCTCGGAGCTTTTTGTGTGGTTTTGGGAAGAGGGTCCCCAGGCTGTGGGTGTAGAGACGGATCAGATCGGGAGAAGGGTTAGGGTTTATTCTGCACTGGAGTTTGGCGTGAGGGACTCCGCAGCGTCCGGGCTGCAGTTGGTCCCCAGGGCTTAGCAGTGGGCTGGCAGCGACCTCCCGGTGGACCAGGGCCTGCAGACGGGGCGGGGTCTGGAAGATGAAGCCTGGCTGGAGGAGAGTGGCTCCCGGTTAGGGCGAGGGCTCCCGGGGCAGGGTGGTCCTGCCCAATCGGCAGGCCCACCTCGCTCAGCGCCGGTCCGTTGCT